CGAATTCACATCGTGCAGATCTCAACCAAGCTCGTAATCTCGAATTCCCATGTTTCTCAGATGTCCGCCTCACTGAAGTTCAATGCCTTGGCGACGCGGCGGACTCGATACGAACACGGACGGCATCGGAGGCGCATCCTATTCTTGAACTTAGGTCCTCGAATTCTCCGCTCAAATACTATTCGGGATGAGCGAGTCTTTAGGCTTATCTATACGTAATGAAATGAGGACGAGCGAGGCCTAGACGTATCAAGTTACTCTGACTTCGGCGATTCAGGAGCAGTCTGCGGCCCGTTGTTCGATGCCTGCATCTTGAAATTCCGTGCCAGCCCACCCAAAATTCTCTCACAATTTTGAGAACTCGCTCATCGGCGGAGATGTACTCACTGCGCTTCGGTTCTGGATTGTAACCTGCGACGTATCTAGCATAAGTTACATCCCGACTCTGTTGAACTTTCCGGATACCGTCTATGAATTTCCGAAGACTAGGATGATCCAGCCCAAACCCGCCCTGCAAACGTCTATGGGCTGCTTCGGCCAAGTTGTTCGTCCGAGCTTCACCGTCCACTGTCCGTTGGTAGACGGACCACATCGCGATGGGGAAGCGAGCAGGTGCGCGGACGATTTCTGCGCCGATCAACCGGTCGATGTAGTTATCTTTGGAATGGTTCATCGCGGGCATCAGCTCTTCTGGCAATTCGGGCTCTAGTTCGCTCATCGTGGTATTGATGTGTTTCGGCGGGATCATCCGAGCACATCGACCAAAATTCGGATCGGATTGAATTGAGGCCACTCTTGATGCAGGAAGTCGACAATTCTGGTGTAAGTGGCCTGGCTCCTGTTTGGGAGGAGTGCATAGCACTTAGGAACGACGAATCTCGAGCGCTCCGCCAAGACTGCGAACCCTCTGCTGGAAGAGCTTCGGCGCCAGACTAAATGTACCGTCGACGTAGATTTCGCCGACCAGTCCGATCCAGCTAGCAAGCGACTCGCGGCCGAATATCGGGATCCTTCTGTCGTCTCCGAGACCAGAATCCCCGATCAGGAAACGCTCTGACGTTCCTGGTCAGGGCTCGTAGACTGCATAATCCTTTGGAATGATTATGAAGCTTCGATGGGTGGGCAGCGCGGGGCGCTCGCACGGGCCTTGCGAACACGTTTGATGACTTCAGCTAGCACGCGATTCGGAGAGAACTCCATCTGAACTGCCAGAGGCGCTCCAGTTTGAACGCTGTTGACGACCTGTCCGGGCGTCTTCTGCGTTTCTTCCGCACGACGCTTCATCGCCGTCCTCCTGCTCGCGATTTCCACTCCAACCGCATCCGAAGGATCACTATGAGATCCTGATACGCTTACGACCTCACCATTTGCGAGGAGCCTGTGCAGACTCTACTACGATTTTTTAAACTGACACCTCCAGAATTCCATCGTAAGATCTGAACTGGATCGGTCGAGCACATACATGTAAACCATCGTGACACGTTTTTGTCTCGTCCTCGATTCGATTTGACTGGAGTTGGACCGAAGACATTCGATAGGATTCTCTTCCCGGACAAGATATTCTCAAGCTTCCTAAACTCAGGATCCAAATAAGATTTCACAGCACACACAAAGTAATAGAT